TTTAATGTGTCTTTTCTGTGAAATGGCAGAGCAAGCATTAAAAAACCCTTTGCTGTACATTATAAATAACTTCTAAAATTAAATCTCAAAACCACATTTCTAAGCATTTCCATAAAAAAAAAATTGTCATTCATGTGCTGTAAAGTTCCTTTGATCCCTCTAATATGTGCTCTGCAGTAAATACTGACAGTCTTCTACTGCGCTTTGTAGTCATTGCTTTTCTTCTTTAAAAGCTTTTGAGACACACAACAAGCCCAGCTCAGGGGCTGTAAGCCAGACATGGTGTTTAGGGGGGAAATGGACACTGGAGGGGTCCGAGGCTCTTATCTAGCTAAAGTGATGAAAAGTGCTTCTCTTAATGGAGGAAACAGTGAAGCTAGAGTCACTTGTCTAAAAAGAGCACTCCATATTGGAACCCAAACAGCAAGAATCAGTACCATCCTTTCACATAAATTGTTCCAGGAAAGACTGTTATTCTCCAGTCTTATCTCCAGATAATGATTATGATAGGCCTAACTATGATACCTTTCACTCACTGGCTCTTTCACCCATATTGGTTATCCATGTCTACCAAAGACAGTCGTGGCAAGGAAATTTTTGCGGGGTATTCTGCATTTCGAGGGGTCTCCATGTAGATGGTGGAGCTGGTGAGACTCTTACGGTTTTTCTTTGATGCCGAGCGCCGCTGCCAGCGGCACAGGAGGAGCTCCACCTGCTCTCTGAAGAAGCTGGTGGTCAGGGTGTAGAGAATGGGGTTAAGGGCGCTGTTGATAGGAAGAATGAAGATCACCACCCAGGAGTTTATTGTTCCTGCACAGATAAACATAGAGCAAATGTCAACAAAAAAGAATCGGCAAATTCTGTGACACACTTGGCCACAGGTAGCGGGGTCATTTTCAAGAAAAAGTGCCATTTGTGCACAAAATAAGAAAAAGTATAATCTACATTTTTTTTATTTAATTTGAAAAGGTTACTGTTAAGCTTTTATTTAAATTGTATTTATTTTTTATTTCTAAAAAATAAAATACCTGGACCGAAACCATGTCTTAAATATGTGCCTACAAAATACCAACAATTATTTGTCCTTACTAAATGTATCATTTAAAACTTTTATTGGAATATGTAACTGAAATTAGTTTTTGTGTGCCTTATTAT